GGTAGTGGTGCTCATCCTGATATTGTTTCAGGTGTCTGGGTTTCTGGTGGTTCTTCCTCGGTCAGGGGTGTCACTCGTTCAGGTGTGACTAGACTTGCATGTCTTGCTGAGTGCTGACTTGCTTCGCTGATTGCTTGTTTTAGCTCTTCCAGACCTAAGCCGTCGTCTTGGAGGTCAAAGTCCCGTTTGTGATCTGGGTTGAACAAAGCCATGGTGTAATCGTTAAGTGTTGTATTGTAGACACGTTCTAATGTTAAGCATCCTACCAAGTAGGGCCGTGCAACAGGTAATGATACTTCTCTCTTGATAAGGTAATAGTTGTTAGACCATTGCCTACGCGACACTGATAGTTAAATCCTTCGACTTCTATCTTATCATGCCTATTCCCTTAAACTTCTTAGTCCTTACGGAGGACTTAGACTTGCAACATGGGATAAAAGCTAGTTTTCTCTTATGTATTAAGATAAATCTTAAAGAGCGTAAAGCTAGGTTCACCTGGCGTGACTCATTCCTCGTATCATGCAAACCCTGTGACTCATAACTATAAGTTATGCAAAATCCATCAGCTAACTCCTATGAGTCGCTGTCCTTATATACCTAAAACTAATCAAAACATAATAACCCAGTTGGGTGCTCAACTCGTGTCACCTGAGTAAAACCCATGACTCATAATTTGAATTGTGTGCGAAAATTATAACATCATGTGACTTACAACTGTGAGTCATGAACTGGTAAAGATAATAATCTATGGCACACTAGTGTGCGTCATATGGAATTCCAACATACCTATAGCTCAGAATTCCGAGCTATGTAAAATCTGCCGTGCTTAGTTACAGTTTGTGACTGGTAGATGGTTCCTAAGAATGCGACTGTACCAAACTTCGAATCTCTCGAACACGGCTCTTGCAAAGTATAAAGAATAAATGTAAAACAGTAAAACTTAATGTCGTTAAGCTCAGGCTCATCTCAATTAAAGTCTCTCAAGAGGACCTTGATTGTATGAGGGTAGGAGAGTTCTCAGATAATCTTTAAGCAGTCAGACTTAGACTAAAAACTCCCCCACCAGGTTACCCTGACCAATATGAGTATCCCCTTTTCCATAAGGGTAGCCCAGCACCATTGCCGTGTCCCCGAAAGGCCTAAGGTGTCAGCACACTTTATTAGAAATCTCCTTTATGCACATTAGTTAATACGACATATTTACCAATACAGCTGCTAGAGTGAAAACTTCTGCGCATCAGGGTCTCTCTAGTAGCTAACTGTCGAGATGCCTAGGAAAACTAACTAAATAACTCTCTTCTAATGTGCTATGACCTATGCAACCCCCCGTAGACATCAGCTGTTCTCCAGTTAGGTTCTATCCATCTTGACTGTAAACTTCAAAGGTCTACGACATTCCCACAGAGAGCTGTGCTCGTGGTATGACCTGTGGGCACTACCCATGCTCCCTTACCCCCAGCACACAACTCACAGTGATAAGTATTATTCTATTAGAGTCCTCAAACAACCCACAAAAAGCCTACAGCAAAGGGGCACATCTAGGTATAATTGGCGTAAAACCTTCCCAGATGCCTCCAGTACTACCCGGGACTACTCTGGGGACTCTTCCAGATATCTCGTGCAAACTCCATCAGTTTTGATCTGTTTTACTCCATTCTTTTTAGAGAAGTTACCTGACCTTCACCCCTTGGCCCCCTTATATATCCTGCAAACAGCTTCCAATTGGATGGATGGCAGCAATGTATACAGTGTTATGGACATGTTTTTATTACTTTCATTTAACTAGTAAGATGGCAACTCTACTAATTTTGACCCATGACAACCGGGGCGAACCCTGGGACCGCATGTACCTCTTAGGAATAATTCTGCCAAGTCACAGCATGTTTAGAGCGCTATAGCTCCTCCTGTAATCTTCCAATCAGTATGTAAGCAAGTGCCTATCGATCGTTATTGCGTAACAAACAATCCTAACATTTCCTGGAATTCCTCCGAGAACCTTTCCAACAGAAGGTAGGATAATAGTGTCCCAATGGTAGGGTAAGTATGTCTATAGTGACACGAAACTGGTCTCCATGGTACGGTAACGTGACTCTTCTAGACAGGGTAAACTCACCCAGCCTTCTGACCTATCCTTAGGCCGGAGCGAACTTAGTCACATTACTTCCACTACTTAGGTACACCTATTCCTGAAGTACCTTCTGTTCTTTGAGATACCCGGACCATCAGATATCCCTCTGACATGCACCTTTAGACCCACCTAGTCTACCATATAACCTCTTGGTCTTATGTATGGGCGGAGACTTAGGTTACCATAGCTCCATAACATAGGGTCGTTACAACTGCCTTCAGGTTTGGGTCGAGCTCTCTCTTCTCTTGCAACCCCAAGAGGCTGCCAAGTCAGACCTGAACACAATAATCATAGCTGTCAACCATGGGCTTGAGTCTACTCCTCCCCTTCTCTTCTGGACCTGTTTGATTAGCAGGTAGCGTCATCCCTACCACTGCAATAATCCTATCTCTCCCAGAACAAGGGACTATATGAGAAATGTGGTAAACACCTGCTTCACTTCGGACTCTACTCTACAGTTGGATCTGCTAGTACCCTACTGCCACCCACTCTCAAGCTGGCACCTTACTGCCTCAATCATTGATTGTCCTGAAGGATACACAGTCACTGGCATGCCTGCCATACACCTTCTCTCCTCGCTTCTTGGTTGCCACCTTTGGGGTAGTTTTCCTTATACCCTTTGTGTCTAGGGCTTCAGCTCCCTCCTCCTGGCCCTCCTCATATGGCTCAATGGTCCCCATCTACGGGATTTGAGTTGTGATCATTGGTGCTTCGGGGTTCCGTTTGAGTTATTACCTTTAGGTATTTTGTTCTTGCAGTTGGGTATGTTCTTGGTTCACTGTTGAGTAGCAAGCTTTCTTTTGTTGCTTGGCGGTAGGGATTATTGGGTAGTACAGTTGACGGAAGGGATTACAGGTGAGAGTAGTTTTTTCTACCCCAGAGGGTTTTTTTTAGCTCTGTTGTTCAGCCCAGGTAAGGGGGGGGCAGTTTTTTAAGCATCATAGCTGGTGCTCCATATGTATTTTTGTTCTATAAACAAAATAATAAAATGAGTCAAATGACAAAAAATACTTAGCTTTCATAACTATCACCTAACAGAGAAGAGATTTTATTAATATATTCGTTATACTTTGATACCTACTTTTGTTCCGAGCTTTCTTGACCACTCTCCAAGAAACCTTATTGGCCCCAGTTACAATTCACTTGACTTAGAATTGGCTGCCCTCTAACAGGCTCAGAGGTAGATAACCACAGAAGTCAGAGCCAGAGGAGGAGGTAGCCGATGTCACCAGACAGAGGAGATGTCAGCCTGACAGTGAGAGTGTCAGCTAAGAGGTAGGGCCTAAAGGGTGAGATGAAGTCACACTAAGGTGACTGGGAGGAAGCAGATAGAAGAGCTACTCCATGCTTGAGAGGAGGGCAGCCAAGTGCCCGGGCCATATGGTATGAGCAGACTCATAGGAGGAGAGAAGGAGGAACGCCTAAAAGGTGAGGGAGTCTGATACAGTACCTGACTGCATAGCCTGGATTACAGCAACACCCTTCATGTCATGGGCATGGAGACTCACAACCTGTGGCCAATAACCAAGCCAACTATCAGATGGCTAACCAGGCCCCTCTCCTTTACATCGACCATGCCAAAACTAAGCAAGCCTAGTCAGGATAGGGCAAGAGAAGAGGTGCCAGTGGGGCCATACGAAGCCTCCTCGGAGGACGAGGAGGGGGGACCAAGAGGATTAACTCCCCTTGGAGAACTGAAGAGGTGAGAGGAGGGTGAAGAGGAGCCCAGAGCTGAAGAGATAATGGCCTATACCCCCGCAGTAGAGGGGGTGCACAACCAAAAAAATATTGATAGTTCTCTGGTATTGGGTCATTCCCAAATGGGAAATATTTTTCAATGACCGGAGTTGTAATGGAGACAGAGGATGTTTTTAATGGAGACAGAGGACATTTTAACAGAGATGGAGGATGCTGACATTGTTTACTGTCGTATATGTATTAGTATTTTGTATAAGATTAGTCAATTTCTCTTCATGAAAGTAAAGCAGAAAGAAATCCAAGTGGCGATGGGTGAGAGAGGTGGCTCTGGATTGTGAACTGGATTGTAGTAATTTGAAAACTGAATTGGAAGATTCAATATTCTATTATGTCATGGATTCCGGTGTTCATATGGCTCAAAAGCAGGGACTGGAGGCAGATTTTGTAGAAGTTGAAACTCTCGCTCGCCTTGACCAACCTCTCCTCCACCCCCATTGCCCTCCTCAGCTCTTCCTTCATCGGTATTCATCAATCTCGTCCTCATCGTTGCCGAGGTCTTCATGGTCTGCCGGCTCTTCGTGGTCTGCCGGCTCTTCATTGTTGAGAATCTCAGGAATAACTGCTTGTCCGAGTCCTCGCCCTCTTCCACAAAACTCGATCTCCTCCTCCTCACTTTCATAGACTCAGACCTCGTCCATTGTGGTATTGATCTCAGACGTTGCAGTATTGATCTCAGAAATAGACTTCACAACTCGCTTCACAACTTGTACGGTCCACTGATACTTTATTTAATTCTTCAGGTAAATTCTCATATGTTGCATCATTATTCTCTTGATCGCTACCCACTTTACCATTTTCAGCTAAGTCACAATCTACACTTTCAACCCTTACTTTAGCGTGACTGTCTGAATACTCGAGTACAGGCTAAGGGATTCCTTTTGTTTTGTCTCGGCTGAGGTTCGAGTTCGAATTCTCTCACCTTGAGTAGCCGAGAAGGGGAATTCCAACGTCCGGGCACATCTTCCCCCAACCCACCCGCACTCCAATTCCGACACTGCCTTTCCAATGCCCCATTTGCCCACCCACGTCTAAAGTGCTGCCGTTCCCCAGCCCCAGATAAACCGATATCACACCTAAACGTCACTAGCAAACCAACATTGGCACCTTTCCCCCTCACGAGTCGCCTACTTTATTCTACATACAGATCATTCGGCAAGAAAAGGCATGCATAAAACATCATCAAGCATAAAACACAAATCTACAATTATGATGATGAGCAGAAAATCACAAAATCTCCCACCCCCAACCCAATTGAAAAGGGGACGACAAATCGAATGCCCCCAAACCATAGCAAACCCCGAAAATTAAAAACATAAACCCCCGGTCAACCCATTTTTCGTCGTTTTGGGACAAAGGGAATGAAAATTGAAAAGGAATGCTGCTGCTGCGAAAAAAAATTCGCCAAGGAAAGGAAGGAAAAAATCCTGTTACCAAGAATCGGCCGAAAAAAAAATCACTCCACTCCGTATATCCTACAATCCCATACAAAACCTTCCCACCAAGGGCTCCCTCTTAGCAGCAACAAACCGAGCCGATCCATCAATACTCATATCACATGGCCGTTGGCCACATCATCGGGGTAGTCGTTCATTCGAGGAGAGGGTCTAGGAGATGGCTCTCCCCGCTTAGCTAGAACACTCAGGCTGCCTACCACTAAACCTCATCGTTAGTCTCGCGGCGACGAGCTGGTTGCAAGAAGGTAACTCACGCTCCATGTAATCCTCAAATGTCTCCTCATCGTCAGGCATTGCATCCATCGAAGCGACCGCCTCATCGACAGCCCTCTGTGCAACGTGCCGGGCATTCTCATAATCCTTCGTGCAATCGTAAAGAAAGGCACTATATTCCAACTTCACAGATAACCTGAGTGGATGCGATCCCGGTAACAGTTCACGAGCACATCCTTCCGCCCTGCTAAAGGCATCAAGGGTAGGCGTGATGTATGCATAGGATGAGTTAATGGCACCCACGCCATTTATTCCCAACGAGCCGCTGAGTTGGGCCGTTCCATTGACCCCATTCCCCATCCTAGGAACTTGCGGCACCATAGCCGTCTTCGTCTGGTACGTATGATCAAACAGAACAAATATGTGAAGGAATGAGGCATTGAGTTTCGCGACCAGCACCCGGAGCTCGTTCAGAGAAGCATACTTGGATCCTGCGTAATTCACCATTTCGGGCTGAATTTCATTCTGTAGGATGGTTAGGCCTTCCCGGGCCATCCATATTATGTGGCGATAAAGGTCGAGCGACCTTGTGTCTCGGCTCGTATCCAACTTTCGTTGTTTCCGTGCGCGCAGGAGTTTCCGCGAAAGAAGTGTGGACAGGCCCAGGAGTTTGTAGAGGCCGGCCGAAAGCATCACACTGAGACCTGCCGTAGTCTTCGCAAAAGTGCCTATGTATTTCTGATCCACCTCTGAACCGACCATTCTTAGAGCTCCCACCCCCCGGATCCGTTGGGACCTTCCTCCGATAGCGAGGTCGTTGATTTCCTGTCAAGTGAGCAACAATTCCCTAAAGCCCAGACATGTGACTGGTGGTGGTGTAGTTTAATTGGCAGGCACACCTTCTGAAGACCTTTAACCTAGTCAGCACTGTATGAGCCATCATACTCGTATTGCACAGACATGGAGCGAATTAGGCGCAGCGCAAGAGCATGCCAGCCCCAATACGGCCACAAGATTCACAAAACGGGAACTGGGGTGACGAGGCTCACCGACAGACAAGAGAGCGAGTACCGACAGGCGACCTCCAATCAGTAATACCCGAGTACCAGTACTCACAATAACCACAAGTTTGCTGGGCTAGGTTGTAGGCTTCACGGCGGCACCAGTGCCCGACCGACTTCCTAACCAGTGACCCCGTGTTGTGTTCCCTCCACTTCTCCGAGAGTTGATGGAGGCCGCTCTATAAGCGGCGGATGCGGATGAATATGGGCGAAAAGTGCAACTCCGAAGGGAATTTGACCTTTGCGAATAGCTCACCACCAGTAAACTCTGGATCCGGTACGATTTTTACTTGCGCGTTGCCATTGCCACCAAGGCAGCCCAGATTCGAGTGGAGACGCGACAGTAAAAGAAAGGCAGCGAATGCCCGGCGGGATGGTGCGTGGACTTGACCAAGGTTGGTAGGGTGGGATATATATATTACGATGAACCAAGCGCGAAGGCGACTCGCAGATACTCTCCCTCCGTTTTTGTCTTTTTTCTCTCTCCCTCTCTCTCTTCTTTTCTTCTCTTTCTCACTTTTTTTTTTTTTTTTTTTTCCTCTTCCCTCGGTTGCGGTGGTCGAGGACGACCAGGTAAGTTATGAGGGTGGAAACTTTTTGAACCGGATTTAACTGACAGTAAGGTGTAGCAGGGGTCGAGACGGGGGTGGGTGTAAGGGATAGAGGCCAGACGAGGCGTTGCGGTACGAGTAGGTTATGTACCCAAATTCGGATCACTCTACTCGTACGAGTAGCATGGATCCAGCCAGGGTGGATGTGTAGGTGACGGGCTACGTGTTAGCACCGGACGAGCACAG